TGGGAAGTATTGCTGAACAAAGAGACCTTGAAGTGCAGGTTTATAGTTCCTTGGAAGTGGAGTCCCAGGCAGAAAGGAATGTGAAGAAGGTGTTTTGGTATGCTTACTTTTATTGGTCAGTGCATTGAGTGTAGGAGTTGAGAGGTCATGTTATGGCTGTACAGGATATTGGTTAGGCAATTTTTGGAATAGTGTGTGAAATTCTGGTCTCCCACTATGGGAAGGATGTTGTGAAACTTGAAAGGGTTCATAAAAGATTTATGAGGATGTTGCCAGGATTGGAGGGTTTGAGCTACTGGAAGAGGCTGATTAGGATAAGACTATTTTCCCTGGAGCATCGGAGGCTGAGGGGTGACCTTTTATAGAGGTTTATAAAATCATGAGGGACATGGATAGGGTATAGACAAGGTATTTTCCCTGCAGTGGGGGAGTCTAAAACTAGACAGCATAGGTTTAAGGTGAGAGGTAAAAGATTTAAAAGGATCTAAGGGACAACTTTTTCCATGCAGAGGGTGGTGTACGTAAGGAATGAGCTGCCAGAGGAAGTGGTGGAGGCTAGTACAATTACAACATTTAAAAGGCGTCTGGATGGGTAAATGAATAAGAAGAGTCTAGAGGGCTACAGGCCAAATGTTGGCAAATGGGACCAGATTTATTGAGTAAAACTGGTTGGCATGAACTAGTTGGACTGAAGTGTCTGTTTCCATGCTGTACGTCTCTATGACTATGAGCTGTTGTCCAACACCACCGTTCCTACTGAATGGCACCAATAAAGAAGAGGTTATGCTCTCCTTTTGATGTGTTTCACTGCTGTTAGGCCAACTCTCAGTCTCTACAGTGCTGACAAAATTCCAATCAATGTGATTTGAACCATTTTAGGGAGGAAAGGGTAGCATTTTTAAAGCTTCAATTAGGATATCCCAAAATACTTAGTAGCTAAAATATTATATTTTGAAATATAGGAAAACTTGGCAGCAGATCTGTAAAAAGCAGCGTGTTAAGTGAGTGATTAAAAAATCAGACAACCGATCTGATCATCATGTGATTTTAATGTCTGAGACTTTTCGTGGACTAAAATGGTTTAAATTCTCCACCACTGCTGAAGCTACTAGCCAACAATTAAACGAGTGTGGCCTCAGCTTAAAAGTATAATATTTCAAGACTCCCTAACAACTTTTAAATTGCATAGACTTATACTGCCTGTACTAGACACTCTCTCTTATTTTTAAACTTATTAACTTTTTTGTGCATTGTGGGTGTTCCAGCCACTGGCTGGAAATTGCTTTTGTGCATGCTGAAATTGTGAAAGATACAGATATCAATGAAGGTATAACGATGTCTCTAGTTGCTGTTTCAAGTTCCATTCCACAGCCGATTACATAATCTAGGTTTACACATAAATGCAGAAACACGCTGGCAGAGTGCTGCCCTGTCAAAGTTGCCATCTTTTAGGTGAGACATGAAACCAAAGTCTGTCTTCCTTTTTAATTCGATATAAAAGATCTATGGCCATGTTCAAAGAAGCACAATAGAACTCCCCTGATGTTATAAAGAACAAAGATCAAAGAAAATTACAGCACAGGAACAGGCCCTTCGGCCCTCCAAGCCTGCGCCGATCCAGATCCTCTATCTAAACCTGTCGCCTATTTTCCAAGGATCTGTATCCCTCTGCTCCCTGCCCATTCATGTATCTGTCTGGATACATCTTAAATGATGCTATCGTGCCCGTCTCTACCACCTGCGCTGGCAATGCATTCCAGGCACCCACCACCCTCTGCATAAGGAACTTTCCATGCATATCTCCCTTAAACTTTTTCCCTCTCACCTTGAAATCGTGACCCCTAGTAATTGAGTCCCCCACTCTGGGGGGAAAAAGCTTCTTGCTATCCACTCTGTCTATACCTCATGATTTTGTAGACCTCAATCAGGTCCCCCCTCAACCTCCGTCTTTCTAATGTAAATAATCCTAATCTACTCAACCTCTCAATCAAGACGTGCAATCAAGTCATTTATGTGCGTGTTTGCCTATAACACTGTACTTTAAAATGGTTTGGTTAGGCTTTTAAAATGCTTTGGGACAATGTAAGAGCTGGAGGAGCTCTTGTTGAAAAACAATATATAAGTATATAGAGATAACAGTGTGGGGCTTGAGGAGCACAGCGGGCCAGGCAGTATCAGAGAAACAGGAAAGTTGATGTTTCGGGTCGGGACCCTTCAGAAATGGGAGAGAGGGAAGAGAGCTCTGAAATAAATAGAGAAGGGGTGGGCATGGGAAAGGTAGGTGGGATGGTGATAGGTGTGTGCCACCTATCACCATCCCTTCCACCTTCTCCAGCCCCACCCCTCCTCTCTCTCTCTCTTTATTTCAGAGCTCCCTTCCTCCTCCCCCATTTCTGAAGAAGGGTCCCAACCCAAAATGTCAACTTTCCTGCTCCTCTGACGCTGCCTGGCCTGCTGTGCTCCTCCAGCTCCACACTGTTATCTCTGACTCCAGTATCAGCAGTTCTTACTATCTCTGATATGTGTATATTCTTTATCATCTTTAAATTGAGTAAATATGAGGCAGTATTTCGTTTTCATTGGATTATGAAATAAAGACTTTTGATGTGATCGTAAAATCCTCTTCGGACCATTTTAAATTTAAAAAACAGCAACTTGTAATAAATTCCTACGGTCATACTTCTACTTCTGAATTCTGTATTGTTGTTTGCTAGTTTATTACTACTTACTCAGTTGTTGGATATTTGCCTCATAAAATGGAACTCTGTGCTCTTTTAGCAGCTCACGGTATAGCTGTATTAAGCATGATACTGTCTGTAGATGGAAACCATTTTCTATTCACCAGGCACTCATCCCTCCTCTTAATGTACATTTTTAAAAAAGAAATCTGAGTGTCTGGAAGAAAATTAACAAGCACAACACTAAGATCAATCCTCTGGGTCTACTTGAGTTGCTGTTCCAAGCCATCTCATCTTAGCTGAACCTTCTTTCTGGGTATTTTTAATGGTAGCTGAATTTCTCTCAGTGTATCTGTACTGCTGGCAGTGTGGTGCATGCAACAAAAAAGTTGGTGAGCAGCACCTACAACGTCTTGTTTATCCCGCAGATCAGCCACAATGCCAAATTACATATTTGTCTGCATGTCTCTGTCTCATCTGTTAGCATCTGTGAGACTGAGCGCTTATGGACAGCGCGCTTATGGACAGCGCATTTGACACATTGTCGTGCAGAACACCAGCATAGGCACAAGGGCAATATTAGCACCAGTAAACATTTTTCCCTTCTGGCATTTCCTAAAACTCGTTTTATTTTACAGCAAGCATGGGGTCATGTTCTTGTTGGGGCTTCTGAGAACCTGCTTTGTACTGAACTACCATGATGGTTCAAAGTCTTGTGGTACAATGAAGGGAGAATTTCAATTTATGGTTGCCATCATTAAGTGCAATCTCAATTTTCCTACACAAGTAGCTAAATGTTACAAGTGAACAGGATTAATTGATGCTATCTACAGTAGTAAACTGTCAACTGCTTTTTAATGCAACATCTAATAGGGTGTCATTCAAAGATTCTTAATTTAATGCAATTGTATTTTTTCATGTTATGAAACCTGGAAATCATTTTACATGTTGCATCTAAGGATATCATTGAGGTGAAGAACCCTGATTATGTGATGTCTTAATTTCTGTTATTAATTATGTTTCAATTCACTGGAAGAAACCTTTATGAAGATAATAATTATTTCAAACTAGATTCAACAGAAGCAGAGATAGTTGGAACTGCAGATGCTGGTGAATCCGAGACAACAAGGTGCAGGGCTGGATGAACACAGCAGGCCAAGCAGCATCATAGGAGCAGAGAGGCTGACGTTTCAGGCCTAGACCCTTCATCAGACCCTTCATCAGACCCTTTTCAACAGAAGCAGATTGCCATTAGCAGAAAGGAATCTAGAATCATTAAATCCCTACAGTGTGGAAACAGGCTCTTTAGACCAACAAGTCCACACTGACCTTGATAGCATCCCCTCCAGACGCATCCCCCTATAACCCACTTAATCTACATATCCCCAAACACTACAGGCAATTTAGCATGGCCAATCCACCCAGCCTGCACATCTTTGAACTGTGGGAAGAAACCGAAGCACCCGGAGGAAACTCACGCAGACGCTAGGAGAATGTGCAAACTCCACACAGACAGTCACCCCAGGGTGGAATTGAACCCAGGTCCCTGGCACTGAGGCAGCAATGCTAACAACTGAGCCACCGTGCCACCCCTCAAAATCTGCTAATTTTCTCAGCTGTATTAAACTTTTGGTCTAAATTTTAATTTTTTTTTCCAGTACAATTGTGACAATTGATATTATCATTGTGTACAATTGATAAATAAGTTCTAGCTGGAAGATTAAATGATTTGCAAGTAAATTGCCAGTTTTGGGAACATGCTGTATAGCAGTGGAGTGTATTATATGTTGACCAATGGAGTTACACCAACTTTCTTAGTGAATTAAGAATCCCATTTTCTCCAACTAAATATCAACAATAAATGATAACCTTTGGTATGTGCTTCAGCTTAATTCGTATTTCATTACCTTGTTTCACTTTATATTAATTTATCTGGATCGAGATAAGTGTGAGGCATGCCTGTGGCAAGCGTGAAACTTGATATCAGCGTCAAATGGGAGTCAGAAGCCCATGACTGTGGAGAAACAGTGAGCCAGCAGTGATTCTCACTCAGTTAGTTAATTAGTAGCAAGATATTGGACCTTCTGTTCTATTAAGGTTGGCTAAATGTTTCTTGAAGCTGGAGGACCTCTAGCACTGAAGAAGCAGCATGTTAGTGTTTTAGGTAATTGAGAGAGAGGGACCACTTCCATGCTCCCTTTTCTCCACTTTTACAAAAACAAATAAATCCTTTTTATAGCAGCTCCCCACTGTGGAGGGAATGCCTTTATTGGGTGGCCTGTGCCTCCAGCTAAAGTCGGGCAGGTGGTGACGGCCTGAAAGCCTGCCTTAGCTGCCGTTTGAAGTAATTGCGATGATGGAACGGAACGGAACAGAACAGAACAGACTTTATTATTACATATACCCAATGAAAATAGTGAAAATTTAATATGTTGCTAATTACTGTACTGACTTAGATACAAAAGTATCTAGACACAGCTCAAGAGTTTAGACAATATAAAAATAAAATATCAGTTTTACATAGCTAAAAGCTCAATACAGCAGATGACACTGGCACCTAGCTGCCAATGAGCATGGGGCCCTGGCCCCACTCCAGGCTGGCAACATGCAATGCCAAGATACCACTTCAGGAAGGTACATCGGGAGGCACCTACAGGAGGTCGCTACGCAGGTTGGGCGGTCATCATGCTGCGCTGGAAGGCCGCCACGCCAACACTAATGTCAGGAGGCCACAGCGGGACGCCGGGAGATCACTACACCACATTGAGAGGCTACTACTCCAGACCAGAAGGACACCATACCCCACCAGGAAGCCGCTGGGAATCGTTGCTGGAGGACGGAAATCATCTCGTCGCTCACCAGAGGCCCGGAATCCTCGCTTGCCGGAAGCCGGAAGTCGTCGCCGGAGACTGAGAATCATCTCCGGAGGTCAGGAATTGAAGAGAAAAAAGGAGAAAGAAAGAAGCACTAGGAGGAAGAAAAAGAAGAATGGGTGGAGCAGACAAGTTCCGGCTGGAGCATTCCATTTTGCTGTAATCTTGCAACACTTGTCAGCTTGCACCATCTTATCAGTGAGGTAGATCTCATAGAATATGAAATTCACTGATTTGGGCCATTAACCTGGTCCAATCGGAGTATTGGCTGAAAATATAAACAGGACTGGCAGGGGTTGTGTTCACTCTAGGAGCTGGCTCTGTGCTAACAGGGTCAGTAAAATGTATCATGTAAGTAAAGGGTGACCTGGCGACTAAATACCGGCCTTCATGGAGTTATTTCACCTTTTGTTTTCCACAAAAGGGCTGCCTCCAGGTATCTAGGCAAAAAGCCTTCAAAGGCCTCCCATTGGAGCCTAAAAATTGAGCCCTTAGTTTTTGAATGACTTCACACTTGTGTAAGTTCACATGAATCGTGAGCAATACCTACCCTAACACCAGAGTGCAGAAGATTGAGATGCCTCGTAAGATGTAGTTGCTCTCTGAACTATTGTAACTATTAAAAAAAATTTAGTCTCACTTATTTCTGAGTCAGTTTTGTCCTGGAAAACTGGATCACACTTTATAAACTTAACAATGAAGCAGAGCTACTCTGCACTGAAGCTGAAATTGATAAATTAGTGCTCTGTAACAGAAAGTACCTGTGTTAAGAAAGTGTGCTAAATTTAGAACGACTTGTATTGTACTTTAATGTTTAAACAGGATTTAAAATTAGAATCCAAACCGTCAATTACTCCTCTGAAAACTAGTAAAGTGAAAATAAACTCACATTCTTCTTGCAGTATCTCAATTATTGTTTTGGTTATATAACTTCTAGTGCTATGTGACTGTTCACTTAAGTTGTTGCCCTTTGAGGGATTGAATACAAAATGTCGCCTGATTCCCACAGTCCCAGAAACACTGGTTAAACAAAAGACACATTGTGAGAGATGTAACAACTTGAATTATAATCCATTGAATGTGTGGACAACTGTGCTTCAATTTTGGCTTACAAAGGCAAATTTTTATTTGCCTAATTGAGTAGAGTCATTTACATTGTCAGTCTGTCACTCTGCAGTTTTGAACTACCACGAGGTATCCCTTTCAGTGTGAGCTACAGTTGGAGCATGGAGCTCTAGCAAGTTAGAAGGTTTTTATTTAATCACTGCAGAGAATAAAGCAAAAGAAAAATCTATATATTGAATGTCCTATAGAGAGTTGCGCTAGGTTATCTATTTTATTCAACCCAAATGATGGCAAAAAGCAACATTTCCATTTTTAATATAAAATTAAGAATTTCAATTTATGATGGTAGCATCACTGAACAAGAAGTTCCAGGTTCAAATCCCAATTCAAGACTTAAAATGTGGCTTGAGCCTCGTGCATGAACACCTACAAAAGTCTGAAGGAAAATGCCTACTCCCTCACATCCCCAGTACTATTTCAGGGGCGTTAGTCATGAAAAATCAACTCATATTTGCGGAAATGCTTATGTAAATTAAGGTGTTACTCCATGCAGGGTTACTGGGATAGATTGGGAGTGTGGTCTGTGTGGGATGCGCTTCGGCGGAGGCTCAGTGCAGACGCAATGGGCCAAATGGAATCCCTACAGTACAGAAAGAGGCTATGATTCTATAACACATAATGGCCAAGGAAGGTGCTAACATAATATAGCCAGACAAGTGGAGTGTAAGACTGTAAATCCTTCCAACATACTCGTACAACATGAGAAATTCTTGGTCAGCCATGTGATGGAATGGAAATCAGAACTTCTACTAGTTAAAATTCCAGATTCCACTTTGCATGAAAAGGTGTATGTCGTCACAGTGATTCAAAGTCCTTGGGAAATCCGGATGGAGCCATTGGCTAGATGGACAGTTAGGTGGATGCCAACAGCATGGGGTTTAACTTGGGAGCTGCCTCCTTGCCCTCTTTGTGCAGGAGATCATGCATCAGTATTGCCTTTTGGAAGGGGAACTCATGAAGAATTTAATTTTGAACTAGGCCTTTCTTCTGTGGCTTTTATACCTTTGCAAAATTAAGCTATCGGAAAAGCAGCAATTCCCAGCAATTTATAAACATGCAAAATGAATGCACACTGTCATTTTATTCTGCTAACCTTGCATCTATATGTAGTTCCTCATTTAACAGAATAGTTCATACTTTTGCTTAACATTTATAAAGCAAATTTTTCTTCATGGGGTAATCATGGGGTCCTGTGGATTAAGCCTCCCTCAATTAGTTATTTGCTGCAACTCATTTGACCTCTCTATACTAAATACTGTCACTCCTTGAGGTTGTTGCTCACAAATTCAGCCAGTGGACAATTTTCATAGTGCTTATTCTGTTTGCATTATTTGCGTCCTTTTCATTAGTAATTGGGGCTCTTCTAGGACTTAAATCTCTATGGAGTCAACTCAGGAGAAGTAATTGGCTTGGTATTATTTTTGCAAATACTCTTGTAATTAAAAGTGGCAGAAAATACACGGTGACTCAAAGAGAGTGTGGATTCCACTTTGTTTCCAGACTATTACTGACATTCAAGGAAAAGATTTAAAATGTCGGTTGGCTGTGACTTATTTTCCCCTTTTGTATGTGAGTTACTGAAATGCAGTTATGTGAAATTAAGTCTTATGATCAAATAAATTATCATAGTAGTGGTATTTAAAGATTCATAGCATCTTGAAGCACTTCTGAAGAAGGGTCCCGACATGAAACGTCAACTTTCCTGCTCCTCTGATGCTGCCTGGACTACTGCTAACTGGCCTACTGGCGTTCCTCCAGCTCCACACTGTGATATCATAGCATCTTGCATGTTTGTGGATGTATGTTCACAGCTAGATAACTCCCAAGCATTGCTGTTGTCAATAAGTGAACATGGATTGTGCAAAAACAGAAGTTGCTGGAAAAGCTCAACAGGTATAGCAGCATCTTGAACAAAAATCAGAGTTAACATTTCGGGTCCAGAGACTGTTCCTTGGAACACCAGACCTGAATTGTTAGCTCTGATTTTTTTTCACACATAATGCCAGACCTGCTGATCTTTTCTAGCAACTTCTGCTAATATTCCTGATTATAGCAACCACAGTCCTTTCTGCTTTTACGGATTGTGCAAAATTCAACCGATACATTGAAACACCATTATGTGGAATGTCAATTAAAGAATTTGAGATAATCCATTTAAATATAACGTTGCACTTGGAAACTGCTAATAAGTGGGGTATTTGAATGGTATTATTCAAAAATTGCTTTAGAACTTCTTCATCTCAGGATGGCTCCTAAAGTATGCACATGGTGCAAACTGTCATGGGCACAGAAGGGCAAAGGGTGCTGGTTGTAGAATATGTTGGAAAGTAAGATTCTTATCTGACCTGTAATCAGCCATGAGTGGGTACAGGGGATTATGTTGGTATCGAGTGTACTAGGGGCCATAGAGCTGAATAGAGTAGCATACATTGGCTTGGAGGGGTTGAGGGGAGATATGAATGGATAGAGATAGTATAGTTTGTCATGGTAAGTATGAGGGGTGCATGGGGAGGGTGTGATGGAATGAGCTAGTTTGAATTAATATATTGGAGCATGGGGTGGGTATCTGTGGTTGCTGAGGGTACTGATGAGGACTAGAGGGCTGTATTTTTGTTTTGTTCTCTTACTTACAGGACCTGGAGCACCCAAGACCAATTTTTCACATGGCAAGCAAGTATGCCTGACCAGGAGCTTGTCCCATTGTTCCCACCTACCAAAGGCTTATTGGAAGGATTTGCAGGTTGACAATTAACATTTTTGGCCATGTTCTGACTGCATGAAGTTTCTGGCTCATAGGTAGGGACCTAAAATCTACTGTCATAATTAACTACTTAATTCTCCCTCATGGTTGACTACCTTCTTCTTAAATGTATCAAAATATTTTGTGTTTTTGATGATTTCCAGTGGCCACCTTTCCTCTGTAAAACCCAATAGAGGAGCATCAGCACCTAAGAGATTCTGGCTCTCATCTTCCTGATGTCTTTTTCCTGATGGAGGATGGCTGAGAGACTTTGCTGAGGAGCATTCTGGGAAAAGCCAGCTCAGTCATCACGACCAGTCAGTGGAGTGAGGAAGAACTTAGTGTCAAGGAATGGTAAGCCCCAAGCATTACATTACATTACTGTGTGTTTCTGTGCTTCCCTCCTCTTCAAACCAATAATAAAAAAAGGAGAAACTGTTAGGAGGTTTGTTGTAGCCTAGAGGATATTTGGTCTGTTTGTAAAGATTGCATTGTAATGTAAGTGACCAGTTAGGGCAGCTAATTGGTATATGCGTGGCCTTAGGTGAATACTGGGCTTCAGTGAGCAAGGCAAGCAAGGTAAAATTCCTTTTATCTTTTGTGTGTAAAAGGGTAGAGATGGCAGTTAGGGCAGTGGTGTGCTTCTGCCAGATGTGGGAGATCAGGGAGCAGGCTAACGTTCTTGACGACTATATCTGCAGGAAGCATGACCAGCTGAAGCTCCTCCCAGACCGAGTTGTTCAGTTGGAGCGGCAGTTGGACACACTGAGGGATATATAGGGGACAGACCATGTGATAGACACTAGTTACAGGGAAGTGGTTAAACCACAGGTTCAGTCAGGTAGATGGTTGACCGCCAGGACAGGCAGGCAGGTGTGCAGGCATCTTCTGTGGCTATTCCCTTCTCTAACAAGCATACCATTTTGGATACTGTTGGAGGGGATGGCATTTCAGGGGAATATAACAGCAGCAGGCTTGTGACATCACAACTGGCTATGCTGTAGAGCAGGGTTGTGCAAGTGATAGTGGTAGGAGACTTGCTAGTTAGGGGCACAGATAGGCAGCCACAGAAATGCCTTTGAGACTCCAGGCTGGTGTGGTGCCTCCCTGGTGCCAAGGTTAAGGGTGTCTCTGAGCGGTTGCATGAAATTCTTAAGGGGGTGGGTGAGTAGCCAGAGGTTGTGGTGCATGTTGGTACTAACTACATAGGAAGAAAGAGAGATGAGATCCTGTAGAGTGAGTACAAGGAGTTAGGAAAGAGGCTGAAAAGCAGGGCCTCGAGGGTAGTAATCTCTGGGTTACTGCCAGTGCCACATGCTAGTGAGACTAGAATAGAAAGATAGAGCAGAAAAATACATGGCTAAGGAGCTGGCGCAGAGGGCAGTGTTTCAGGTTCTTGGATCACTGAGACCTCTTCTGGGGCAGGGGTGACTTGTACAAGAGGGACAGGTTGCCAGTTCATAGGGGAGCCAGTGGATGTGGTGTACCTAGATTTCCAAAAGGCCTTCGACAAGGCGCCACACAAGAGGCTACTGCATAAGATAAGAATGCATGGCGTTAAGGGTAAAGTATTAGCATGGATAGAGGATTAGTTGACTAACAGGAAGCAAAGAGTGGGGATAAATGAGTGCTATTCTAGCTGGCAGTCAATGACTAGTGGTGTGCCTCAGGGATTGGTGTTGGGACCGCAATTATTTACAATTTATATAGATGATTTGGAGTTGGGGACCATGTGTAGGGTGTCAAAGTTTGCAGATAACACTAAGATGAGTGGCAGAGCAAAGTGTGCAGAGGACTGTGAAACTTTGCAGAGGAACATAGATACATTGAGTGAGTGGGCAAAGGTCTGGCAGATGGAATACAATGTAAATAAATGTGAAGTCATACGTTTTGGTAGGAGTAATAGTAAAAAGGATTATTACTTGAATGGTAAAAAGTTGCAGCATGCTGCTATGCAGAGGGATCTGGGTGTCCTTGTGCATGAATCACAGAAGGTAGGTCTGCAGGTACAACAAGTAATTAGAAAAGCAAATTGAATTTTGTCCTTCATTGCTAAAGGGATTGAGATTAAAAGCAGAGAGGTTATGTTGCAGCTGTACAAGGTGCTGGTGAGGCCACACCTGGAGTACTGTGTGCAGTTTTGGTCTCCTTACTTGAGAAAGGATGTCCTGGCACTGGAGGAGGTGCAAAGGAGGTTCACTAGGTTGATTCCGGAGCTGAGGGGGTTAGCTTATGAGGAGAGACTGAGTAGATTGGGATTATATTCGTTGGAATTCAGAAGATTGAGGGGGGATCTTATAGAAACATATAAAATTATGAAGGGAATAGATAAGATAGAAGTAGAGAGGATGTTTCCACTGGCAGGTGAAGCTAGGACAAGAGGGCATAGCCTCAAGATTAGAGGGAGCAGATTTAGGACTGAATTGAGAAGGAACTTCTTCACCCAGGGGGTTGTTAATCTATGGAATTCCTTGCCCAGTGAAATAGTTGACGCTACTTCAGTAAACGTTTTTAAAGATAAGGTAGTTTTTTTTGAACAATAAAGGAATTAAGGGATACAGTGAGAATGCAGGTAAGTGGATCTGAGTCCACGAAAAGATCAGCCATGATCTTATTGAATGGCGGAGCAGGCTCAAAGGGCCGGACAGCCTACTCCTGCTCCTAGTTCTTATGTTCTTATGTTGCACCTAAGCTGGAAGGGAACCAATGTCCTTGCAAGGAGGTTCACAAACCCTACTCGGGAGGGTTGAAACTAGTGGCGCGGGGCTGGGAACCAGAGCAGCAGGTCACCAAGTCAGCAAGTCGAGGGATTGAGGGGAAGGTAGATGTTAGGACCAGTAAATCAGAAAGAAAGGACAGGCAGAGACAGATAAATGAACACAATAGTACCAATGGGCTGAAGTGTGTTTATTTCAATGGAAGGAGTATTATAAGTAAGGCAGATGAGCTTAGAGCCTGGATCAGTGCATGGGACTATGATGTTATAGCCATTACAGAGACTTGGTTGAGAGAGGGACAGGACTGGCTGCTCAACATTCCAGGTTATCATTGTTTCAGATGAGATAGAGAGAAAGGGAAAAGACGTACAGGAATTGCATATTAATCAGGGAAAAATATTACATCTGCACTCAGTGAGGGCATACTGGAGGGCTTGTCAACTGAGGCAAAATGGGTAGAGCTCAAAAATAAGATAGATGAAATCAGTTTGATCAGTCTTCCCAAAAGCCACTGAGACATTGAGGAGCAAATATGTAGGCAGATTATGGAAAGATGCAATAAAAACAGAGTTGTCATAGTGAGTGACTTTAACTTCCCAATATTGACTGGGACTCCCTTAGAGCAAGAGACTTGGATGGTGCAGAATTTGTTAGCTGCATCCAAGAAGGCTTCTTGAAATGATATGTGGATAGTCCAACTTTAGGACGAGCCATACTGACCTTGTATTGGCTAATGAGCCTGGCCAGGTGACTGACCTTTCTGTGGGACAGCATTTTGGAAATAGTGATCACAACTCATTAAGTTTTAAGACAGATATGAACAAGGATAGTGAGGACGTTGCTACCCAGTCATGTTCAACACAACATCATGGGTTGAAGAGCCTGTTCCTGTGCTGTACTGTTCTATGTTCAACTTTCTGTGATATGGAGGATAATGAGATTTGTGTGGAGCATGTTAATATGCCAGGGCATTTTGAGATCGAGGGGAAAAAAGTGGTGTTGGATCTCTTGAAGAGCATTAAGGTGGATAGGTCACCAGGGCCCAATGGTAACTACCCAGGTTATTGAGAGACGTAATATAGGAGATTACTGGGGCCTTGACCAAGATCTTTGTATCCTCATTACCCACTGAAAAGATGGTAGAAGACTGGCAAGTAGCTAATGTTGTTCCTCTGTTCTAGAAGGGAAGTAGGGATAATTCAGGAAACTATAGACCAGAGAGTCTCACATTGGTAGCTGGGAAGCTTTTGGAGAGAATCCTCAGCGATAGGATTTACACACATTTAGAAAAGCATGGCCTAATTAGGGACAGTCAGCACGTCTTTGTGCAGGGCAGGTCATGTCATGTCTTGATAACATGACTGAATTTTTCGAGGAGGTGATGAGGGTGATCGATGACGTAGAGCAGTGGATGTTGTTTACACTGATTTTAGTAAGGCTTTCAACAAGGTCCCTCATGATAGTCTCATCCAGAAGATTAAGATGGATGGGATCCATGGTGACTTGGCCGCATGGATTCAGAATTGGCTTGCTCATAGGAGGCAGTGGGTAATGGTGGAAGGACATTTTTCAGACTGGAAGGCCTGTGACTAGTGGTGTTCCACAGGGACCTCTGCTGTTGTGATATATATTAATGACTTGGATGAAAATGTAGATGAGTGGGTTAGTAAGTTTGCAGACAATGTAAAGATCGGTGGAGTTGTGGATAGCGTAGAAGGTTGTCAAAGGTACAGTGGGGTATAGATCAGTTGCAGATATGGGCGGAGAAATGGCAGATGGAGTTTAATGCGGACAAATGTGAGATGCTACACTTTTTGGGAGATCAAATGGTAAGGAAAAGTATACGGTTAATGGCAGGACTCTGACCAGCATTGATGTACAGAGGCATCTTGGGCTTCAAGCCCATAGCTCCCTGAAAGTGGCCACACAAGTAGATAGGGTGGTAAAGAAGGCATATGGCATGCTTGCCTTTATTGGTCGGGGAATTGAATACAAGTGTCAGGATGTCATATCGCATCTTTATAAGACTTTGGTTAGGCCACATTTAGAGCATTGCGTTCATTTCTCGTCATAGTACAGGAAGGATACAGAGGCTTTAGAGAGAGTGCAGAAGAGATTTAGTAGGATGCTGCCTGGATTAGAGGATATGAGATATAAGGAGTGGCTAGAAAAACTGGGATTGTTTTTTCTCGAGCAGCAGAGGCTGAAGGGAGCTTGATAAATGTGTATAAAATTTGAGATACGTAAATAGGGTTGATAGTCAGAATCTTTTTCCCAGAGTTGAAATGTTTAATATGCGGAGGCATGCATTTAAAGTGAGGGGGGGATATTTGAAAGGAGATGTGAGGGGCACGTTATTTACACAGAGTGTGGTAAGACTCTGGAATGCCATCTCAGCAGCAGATATGATAAGGGTATTTAGGGAACTTTTAGATAAACACATGAATATGTAAGGAATGAAGAGGTATGGACCAAGGGCGGGAAGAAGGGATTAGTTTCATTTAGCGTCATGTTCAACACAACATCATGGGTTGAAGAGCCTGTTCCTGTGCTGTACTGTTCTATGTTCAACTTTCTATGATGGCATCCCTGTGAGTCAGTCATAGTACAAGGTAGAGGCTATGATGAAGTATTATG